GGCCATGAAAGCCTTTGATAATACTCTGGTGATTCTTGGCCAGATCAGAAAAGTCATGTACGCAGGCATAAAAACAAATGAATATGCAAACAAAGCACATCCCAAATCAAAGATTTCTTAGAACCTGTAACACAAACGTTAATGGCAATGTGTGGGTCTCAGCAGAGGATTGTGTCCATGTTTTCAGGCCAGAATTAGTCTTCTTGCACTGATGTTGCAGATTCCCAAAGTATGTGCACAGCCCTCCAAATTTTGAAGCCGAGGGAAGTATCTTTGTGTTGGTAGCCCCAGAATCCCCTCACTGGTGCCAGGAGAGGGGGCAGATCCTTTGGCCCTTCCTGGCGGTCCTCCTGAGCAATGCTTCTCCCATCCATGCAGAGGCGGCCCTGAAGCAGTTCCTGGAGGACAAGGAGGACGTTGGGAGAGCCATTCTCCAAAGCGACAAGGCCCTCAGCGAGAAGGAGAAGCAAATGGCAGGTGAGCCCCACTCCCAGCCCAGAAAGAGGAATTGGTCATGGGGCTGCCCCTTCAGCAGTCCAGGGCCCAGAGCTGTGTCAAGTGACCATTGTGTGGGGGGTGGGGGTCTGCAGAGGTTCACCCTTCTTTCCTTTCTCCCTTTCCCCCATTCGCTGGACAGAGGCCCAGGTGCGGAAGGAGGCGGCCCAGAGGGAGCAGGAGGTCCTGCGTCAGAGGCAGGCTGAGCGGGAGCAGAAGATGCAGGACCGGCAGCGGAGCTCCAAGGAGAACGTCCGGCAGCTGAAGGCCAAGATGGAGCAGCATCGGGAGCAGCTTCTGAAGGAGCAGGAGAAGATGGTGGAGAGCAAGCTGGCGGTAGGCCTCCTTTGGGTCCCAGCGACCCCTCCCTCACCAGACCCCTTGATCCTGTCCCTTGCACACCTCAGTTAGGAACCTCCTTGCAGCCTCCCACTCACCTGGCTAGTGAGACACCTCCCCCCCCTCGCTCTGTGAAACAGGCCTTTGGACAGAAATGGGGTCCCATTCTTCATTGGTCCGCCTCTCTCTTCCTGCAGGAGCAAGAGGCGCTGCTGAAAGAGGGCTTCCAGAAGAAGGCCGGGCAGGTGATGAAGGAGGTCCAGCGCCTGAAGGTTGAGAGCGCCACGATCAGGGATCCCTCCTGGCTGGACAGAGTCCTGAAGGGGCTGGTGTCAGCCCTCATATTCTATTTGCCAGAGATCGTCGACAAGGTGATGGAGGTCGTCTCAAACCTGTTCAGGCTCTTGTGATCAGTGCCTCCCAGCACCGCCCCTCCCCTCGAGGCCTCTTCTGCTGCTGCCTTTGGCTCGCTGTGGCCTGTCCGTGTGCCTCTTTGGACCCAATGCGCTATTAGAAGAATGCTGTGCTTCCCTCTCAGGGCCTTGCCTG